TTAACAAATGAATTAAAAATGTGAATAGACATTTCACCAAAGAAGATATTTGTATGACCCAATATCATTCATCATTAATGAAAATTGAAACCATAATCAAATACTTCCAATACACCTGTTGGAATAGCTAAACACCAATCCTTGTACCACCTGCTGATGAGGATGGTGCATGCAGATGAACTTTCACATATTGACCTTATGTATTGCTGGTGGGAATACAAATGGCAGAAACACTTTGACACATTGTTATTTCTTGTAAAGTTAAATGTACTTACCAGGTCTGTGCATATATCTTAATAGTAAAGTGCTCAATAGGATGTGTGAGTTCCTGCGTTCAATCCTCAGTATTGCAAAATAAATTAACCAGATAAACAAACAGAAAAACAAAAAGCAAAAACATACTGACTATGCAACCCATCAATCTCACTTGAGGTATTTATCCAAGCAAACCTGTATTCATATGAAAACCTCTATGGGTTTATTTAAAGTAGCTTTATTTGTAATTGTCCTAAACTGGAAACCACCCAAATGCCCTTCATCTGGGGAATGGAGAAACAGACTGTGGTACATTCACAGATGTTTCCAACATTCAGCAATTAAAAGCAATATCTACTGGTACTTACAACAGTATGCATCAATTAAAATACATTATAAAAATAAAAGAAGTCAGATCAAAGAGTATATATATACTGTCTTTTTACATTTATAAGATTTCTGGAAGGAGCTGGGGTTGTGGCTCAGCGGTAGAGCTCTTGCCTCGCATGTGTGAGGCCCTGGGTTCGATCCTCAGCACCACATAAAAATAAATAAATAAATAAAGGTATTGTTTCCAACTACAACTAAAAAATAAATATTAAATAATTAAATTATTAAATATTATTATTAAATATTAAATATTAAAAGATATTTCTGGAAAAGGCAGAAAGGGGGATAACAAATAGGTAAGTGATTTCCAGAGTATGAGTAAAGAGATGGCTTAACTGTAAATGGACAACACAGGGGAATTTTTTAAGGGTGATGGAACTGCTTTGTATTTTGATTGTGACAGTGTACATGATCATGCATTTGCTTAAACTCATGGAACTGTCTATCAAAAAAGTCAGTTTTACTGAAGGTAAATTTTAAAATCATTAAATATGTGACTCAGGAAGAAAAGCCAAGAGAGTTAACTGCCGCAGTCTGGCTGGGCACAATCAGGAGCCACTTGTCAAAAGAAA